TGTATTTTTTTGAGGATATAATTAACTTGTGTGCATGATTCATCATCTTTGACATGTAATTTGGAAGTTTGTGATCGGTTTCCGTGGAGTGTTTTTATCTATGTAGGTACATATGTTGCTTAGTGTGTAGGTAATTATAATTATAATTTGTATTACTTTTATCTCTGCAGTTGTAGACGAAGGAATTCGGAGTAAAAATTATAAATATGATCTACTCTATGATGGAATAATAAAAGGTTGTTGGCCAAATAAGTTAAATAAGATTGAATAAGTTTTCAATTCCTTTATTTATCGAATATCTATAGCTATTTTTATCATGGTTATGAAGCTAAAGACGACTCTACAATTATTAGTGACTTTAAAAAAACGATGAGTAGGTACCAATGTTCGTAGATTGTTTTTTGTTTGTTCACCGATTAGTCCTCCATTTGTGAACCGATTTTCACAATTCTTGTTGTGTTTGAAATATTAGATTCCCGAGATGATTCCATTTCAATCAGGTTAGGATCTGATGATAGAATCCTAGGGAAAGCAAGAGGAACTTTCAAAAATTGTAGTGCGTCTATTATAATTTCAATAATGATTTTAAAAATTATGACGTTAACTTCACAATTTTGGTTGTTTTAATTTCTTTTCTCGGTTATCCATAGTTTGTTCGATCACAAACTTGTTTTCATTCGATTTTCCAACTTTATAAGAAGTTCTCGTCTCTTCTGTGTCTTGATACTTTATCCTTTAATGAGTGAGACCTTACGTGTCGAATTTTCTACATGTTTAACACTAAAGTTGGATTTTCATGTTTATTTTTATTTTTTCTGTTTTACAAGCAAAACACGTACATAGTAACATATTCATGATCTCGCTTTACGCAACGAGATATTATGTATTCATGTAGTACTCTAGTTATTATAACCTTTGCAAATTTTAAGATTAAAAGTAAGAATTTTAATGTCATTAAGGTTGGTTTTCCTTTACACTTTATGAATGTGTTGTCACCAAGTTGCGGATATTTGTGTGAACCATATTTTTATATTTGTGAAGAGATACAAGTTAATTTTTTTATGCCCATGGACACCTGGAACACCAGAGGCGTTACAAGTGCGTTACCGGCATTTTGGAAATTAGGAGTTTGAGGATCGTTGGGGATTCAGGGATTGGGGAGATTGGGGAAGGGAAGGATAATTGGGCCTCCGGTAACCTCACTCACGCGACGAAATACAACGCAAGCGTTGCTTCACGTCGGTTTTCTTGAGGCTGTGGTATCACTCCGGTCGAGCCAGCCCATTCGTGCCGAAGCATGGCTCTGCTACACTTATAAATATTGCATTAATGTTTAAAAATGTAACATTACTGTAACTGCAATAATCTTATTAAAATATTGATTGCTGAAGTGAGTATGAAAACACTTCAGAATTAATAACAAAATACATTTCCTTTATAAAAGTAAAAACAGTATTAACTGTATGATAAGCATTCTCATAAATTTTATTACTACTTCAATTATAGTTGAAGATTTCCACTCGATAAGCTTCACAGTACTGATTTGATTTCATTATGGTTTTCTTCATATATTATTATTATTATTTGAACTGTTTTCATAAATCGTGATTTTATTGGCATTCGATAACATTGTATTGCTAGTTTATTGAACGGTTTATTAGGAAGAAACTGTATGCGTTATTTTTTGGCTATTTTATTCATTACTAGTGGACCCAGCGAACTTTGTTCCGCATTGAAAAAAAATTCCGTATTTTTGACAAGATTTTGTTACATTAGAACCTTCTCTTAATAATAATAGACCAAATAAAAAAAGAATTAGCGATCTCGGTTCAGTTGTTTTTGAGATTTGCACTTAGCAACACATTACATTCAGCATTTTTGTATTACAGATCTGTTAGACAAGTTTTCACTAATAATCACTTATGAAACGGCGTTATATTGCATTAAATATGTTATGTTAATCTTACAACATAACATTACCAATGTGTGAGAGAGCCATGCTTCGGCATGAATGGGCTGGCTCGACCGGAGTGATACCACGGCCTCACAGAAGACCGACGTGAAACAACGTTATGTTGTGTTTCGTCGTGTGAGTGAGGTTACCGGACGCCCAATTACCCTCCCCCCTTTCCCAATCCCTGAATCCCCAACAATCCTCCAATTCCTAATCCCAAAAGGACGCGAAAGGTAACGCACATGTAACGCCTCTGGTGTTCCAGGTGTCCATGGGCGACGCCTATTGCTTATCATCAGGTGATCCGTCTGCCCGTTTGCCTGTTCATCTCATAACAAAAAATTTTTGTTGGCTATACAGGTAGACAACAAACAAAAATGATAACAATGATAACCAAAAACACAAACAAAAATTGAAATCTCATATCGAAACGCAACCTGAAACTTGAACCTACTTATAATAAAGTGTTTACTTCATTCGCTCGTACTTTTAATTTCATCTCAAGTAATTTAAATTAACTACCTCTTAAACTGGACGAATTAGTAAAAGCAGAGAGACACATTAATCTCAATCTCGTACCAGTTTGTATTTTCGCAACACTTTTTATATGGGGACTGGGTGACGGTATCAGAAAATTCTTTGCTTTGTCCAGACCCACGCACATGAAGCTATACCCTAGCTTATTTAATTTTCAACTTTAACATCTTGCAATACAGTCGTAAATCGTTTGAAGATATTAAGTCACTTTAGGGTAGTTTGATTTGCTGGCTTGTACATATTATGTACGATAGAAAATCCTTGTTATTCGAGTCCTGTTTGATCGGTGACGCGAAAATTGTCATGGGTCAACCGAATATTGTTTTTTATAGCGTATCGGAATTACTGTCTCGATTGTCGTCTGGTAGAAATCGTGAAGTAACGCGTAAAGCCCTGTGTTGGATAGAATTTTATTGAACTTTTTTATTTAGAAATTCTTATTTATTACAGCCTAGGTTCAAATTGAATACATTTATTTGCTTGAATTAATAATTATGTCGATGATCTCTTAGATAGTAATAGAAAAGTGCGTTTTTAAAAAAACATGTTATGTCTGGTTGCCTTTTACTCATTAACTAACATAAGTTCATCCCCTGAATAATGTGGTAGTAAAAGTGGACTGATAGCAGGGATAAGCACATTTCAACCAGTGGTGTTAAGATAAATATAATAGCAAGCCTTAGTAACAAGTCGAATCTAAATAGAGACTTCGTATTATTACTATTATTTTTCTTTGAGGAAAAATAAACGTTAAGTCATATCAACCAGCTCAAGGACGCCAATAATCGCGCACAGTATAACCCTTTAGCGGGAACACTAAATACCATCAATACTAAACATAGCACAGATAACTGATTCGATGAAACTTGGACAAGATAACACAACTTCGCCATCGAGGCCGGCTCTTTGACGTAACTTTTTGAGCCTCTATTATTATGACAAACCTCTTTGTTTTGTCCGACGAGACGAGGCTCTGCAGCTTCCGAAAACATTGGCTTGAATTTATTTTTTTCACAATTTCCTTTTGTAAGGGGTTTAAAAATGGAATCTTTGGGTGGGGGAGCTCAGTTTACATTTTTCGACGATTATGAAGATGTTTTTGAATTGTTGGTAGCAAAAAAATGTATAGCCGATTTGAGATTCATTTGCATTCAAATGTTTTGTTTTACACGAAATGGTCTGAATTTCGTTAAGCGCTAAACAGTCTTGTCTGTAACTAAATATCCTAGTACTTGGGCAAACTTAGTATTAAGTGCAAGAACTTGAAGACTTGACTTGTTGATTCACAAGTTGTTCAGCTCACCCAAGTAACGAAGTTGAACATTAAAATATCGTAACACTCTGTTACAGTGGTTTACTACCGTTTCATATAAGTTTGTTTAATTAACTACGGAATATAGAAGTAGTGGGATGAAGTTGTAAGCTACCATTGTGTTTAGATAATGTTAAACGGAAGAATATTATATTATTATACTAGCGACCTGGCCCGGCTACGCACGGGTGCAATATGCATGTATTATAAATACAAATCATTCTTAAAAATCACTCTATCTATTAAAAAAAACCGCATCAAATTCCGTTGCGTAGTTTTAAAGATCTAAGCATACATAGGAACAGACAGACGCGGATAGCGACTTTGTTTTATACTATGTATAGTGATTATCTTTAACATAGTTTTTTATTTTGAGTTAGGCAGATTTCGAATATCACCATCGAGCTTGTGGTTTAACTTCTATTTACATTAAAAGAGCGTATACCTTCTTTGTGCGCAAAAGGAGCTTGCTCTTCAGTGGGCACTTATAGGAACTGTTGATGATGATGATGACTTAATAGGACAACACCAAAACAAAACGAAATACAATACAAAACCACTAATAAACTTACAATCTTATACCAACACTAGTATACTTCATTAAACTATCACCAATGTATAGGTTGGAACCAAAGACAAGTTGCCTTAGGGAACTGGCTCCGGAATCTGTGTGACAGTATCTCAGTTGTGACGTCATTGTTGTACACGTCGACCCCGTTCGAACATGCCGCGAACGCCGAGAGCTTATTTAGGAAATTTACGAGTATCGTGAATTATGTGCATGGCATTAGGAATTATAGGTGCTATGGATATGTCATCTGTTTAGGTTTTAGGAATGCGGAGTTTGTTTTGATTAGACATAATGTTTTAATTTTGTGTCACTGAAAAGATAGTTTAAAAAAATCTGTTTAGCAATTTGGCTATACTCATATTATGTAGTATTCAAAAATTCAATTTTGAATATGGATTTGTAAACAAATTAGTGACAAAAAATACATACGCAAAATATTGTTAGACAGAGTAACATTTATTACTTTCATTGTTGTGTTCGTTTTACATAATTATATAATTATTATATTGCAACTTCTATCAGAAAAGACGAATTTTCATTCACAATGAAAAAACACATTTAAATAACAAAACAAATAAATTACAATCTTAGAAATGTGCAATTAAATAAACCTAAACAAATTACAGAAAAACACAGCAGAAGAATCAAACATGATGTCCCAGCACTTGACGAGCATGTTTGAACAGCTCGGTAACTTCACGAAAAACAATTTGTCACAAAATAGTAAAGTAGTGAAAGAGAAAGAGACAAAAACGAGTGCTAATCATGTGGGATCTGGTGGAGGAAGTGCTGGAAATGCCATAGCCAACCCAGCTGGAAGAGTGGGGGTGCCATTGCTACCAGCACCCTTGAAGAAACCCTGCAAGCTTCGCAACGTGGTCTCCAAAGCAGAGTCGTATGACACGCTCTACTCCAACTGCCCTCTGGTGGTAAGTAATAGAATTAATGTTGTTTACTAAGATGTGACGTCATATTTTTGTACTGTTATCATTTCAGGTTTTTTGTGATGGTAATTTGTGAGTGAATACGTACTTTCTCGTGTATGGCTTGACGTTTAACAGGCAGATTTCAAACCTTTTGAATCAAGATCAAAAGGTTTGAAATTTTGAACAAACTATTGAAATAAAATTCTCGTTAATCTATGAGTAGGTAGAGTATCTCCTTATTTTTATATTAAAAAAAAATATTACACTAAACGAGACCAACTTTCTATTGACACAAAATTGAAGCACCATCCAGGCAATCTTCTAGTCAAATGTGTTCTTGTACACGCGGCCACACATCAACCTATACAAAACCAGTTTATCCTGGTGTCGCGTCGCATCATTTTTCCGCACATTTAACGTTCAGTTTATACTGGTTGTGTAAAGCTCGATGTGTAGCCGTATGTGCACACGGCAAATCGAACTGCGTCTAAACTTAGACGCTTATTGATTAGCGTGTTATGCAAGTTCGTGTTTACATGATCGGTTCAAAGTGTACTATTGTTATGACGATATATATAGATACACGTATGATATTTGCTTCAAATTATCATAATACTATGATTGAATTTTCATATTGCTTAATTTCTCTGCAGTTTTAAGTTTTAATTATACATTGGACTTTTATACCCAGCCATAAACACATTGTAATTATTATTTTAACATTAGTAATACATTTTATACGTCACTCAAAGTTTTATATCAAAAATACATTTGTAATTTACCTGATTTTATTTAAACTTCTGGAATATAATAAAAGAAAACTAAAAATAATACATACAAAAAGCGTCAAAGAATTCCTCCGCATCGATGTCAACTGGGAAAGTAACGAGAAGGCTGGCAGCTTTGCCACGTTTTATAGTTTTAAATGTAGTATATTGGTAATACGACTGCTGGGCAAGGGGTCTCGGGTTCGATTCCCGGGTCGGGCAAAATATCCCAGTAATATTTTTAAAAAAATTCTCAGTAGTAGCACGGAGTCTGGAGTTGTGCCCTGTATATGGCAATAGGCTCACCCCGTATTACATGGGACTAATAACATAAATAGTGAAAAATGTGTGTTACATTGTACAGTGGCATAATATGCACCTCTGCCTTGCCTACCCCTTCGGGGATAAAAGGCGTTATGTTATGTGATGTTATGTTTTTGACCCTTTTGTACTACAATGTAAAAATAGTAGAAGTCGTTGACAAGCTTCTGGTAAGGTTTCTATTCAGCAGCTGTAGCCAAATGCCATTAAGCGCTTCTCGACATGTAGAATAGATATCCAAATTTTATGGAATTGACGTAAATTTTGACACTTGTCAGTGTCATCCCCATACATTTTGATTTCTACTTTCTCTGTAGACAAGCGCTAAAGTGGTGTTTGGCTAAAGGCCCTGGTTCTCTATTCATTGTTTATCAGTATGAATTATTGTCGATCACACAGTATACTAGCTGTCGGTGAGTTTGTTTTGTGATAAACACAGTAATCGGCCCGATACAACGGTTATGATTTAAAACACTTGTGAATATAAGTACTGGGTGATAATGCGATTATTTATTATTGAGGCTTTAGAGAAAACCGAACTCTTTCTCATCTTTTCTACTAACAATGCCACTATACAATGTAACACCCACTTTTCATCACTATTTATGTTATAAGTCCCATGTAATAGGGGGTGAGCCGATTGCCATATACCGGGTACAATTTTAGGTTCCGTTCTACTATTGAGATTTTTTTTAAAACCCGGTTATATTTTGCCCGACCCGCAACCCCTTGCAAAGCGGTCGCACTTGCAATCACTCGACAACGAAGCAGAAAAGAAAAAAAAAACAAAATTCAATTCTGTGGACAAAAATATCTTACGGGAACGAACCCGCATAACGTTATTGTGTATCATATTGCTCACAAAGACTTGAAACACGAATAGAATAGAAACAAAAGGGAATGTGACAAAAATCTTCGCTCAGGTACATTTTAATTAAGACGCAATAATTAGAAGAAATTGGGATACAAAGAGACAGAAGTTACTTCAGTTCTTTTTATTACAATTCTCGCCTTACATTCACAATGTTAATGAACTTTCAATTAAGTAATAAAGTCGTTTAGAACTTAACAAATTAATTAAGAATAAACTCCGCTTTTAACTTAATCAAAACTTAAAACACCATCGTTTTAATAGAAATGTTTCAAATATTGCAAAGTCTACGGAGTTTGTTCCCCATTTATGTAAGTACGGGGTTACGGAAGACAGTTGTAGGGGTTAGATTAAATGTACCTTTAAAATTTGGGTATTTTATTTTGTAAATAAATATTCAAAACCTTTTTTTGCGAAAGAAAACTACAAACTATGCGTTAATTATTGATCCTTGAGCACTGATTCTTGTAAATACATATTTATAATGTAAGTCATAGCGGCAATATATCAGTTAAAAAAATAATAATTTATTTTGTCTTTTATTCAAACCATTCTTCATGTTTAATTACCAAACTACAATTAGAAACAATTTTTTCTACTCTCTATAAACCGACAAATCATGTAACAAAAATCCACTCGCAGCGAGAACTTTAAATAAATGTCTACAGCACGTCCACAGGCCAATAAAACCGTGTCTATCCCGGAGTTGGGTGTCACAGGAGAATCGGAAAATGGTCCCGAACCCCCTGGACAAGGTTGTAAAACCCGGGGAATAGATTGGAAGTCAGTTTTCCCCTTTCCGATAGTTCGCGATACGTGTTTTGTATAGACGGAATATTTAAGTGCCGTCAAAAGATTTGTGCGCCCTTTGTAAAGGGAGTTCGGGATTGTATGGTGTTTGGGTAGAAAAATAAAAATGTATAGTACTTCATATTCTGAGGTAGATTTTGTATCTAGTAGATAGGTTGGTTCTCGATAAGGATTTTTATTAAATTCGATATTATATTTTTAAGTTTTTATATAAAGTATAGCAATTTATAAAAACAGAGCGATTCGATCGATACACAAACAGTGTCTGTGCCAACAATGTACAATTACAAAGACGATAAACTTTTTTTTATAAAAATAAGTAAGAAGCAATCTTAAGTTTTGGCACAACCACATAATAATTTTAGTTCGTAGTCCGTCCAGTGGCGATTTTGCTAATTTATTTCAAGACCTTGTTTTTTATATGTTTAGTTTTGGCGTGGCTTTAAAGTGCTAAAGGAAACTGCTTGTAAAATAAAAACAAATAAATATTACAGCACGAGAAAAGTTACTAAAAAAATCAAGAAGTGATTACACTGCTTTATGTAACGTGTAGAATCGTGTCTACAGAAAAGAACAAATTTAATCAACGACCAAAACTAATCTTGGTACACCTCTAGTTTTGCTCTAAAACTCTTACATCAACTTTTCACAATAGACACCTTTCTTCGCAGTTAGACTAAGTTCCATTGTCAGACATTCTCTTTCATCCAATACCGGCTGGAACAGGATTATTTGCGGTGATAATAAGCCAGTATTACACTGTTAGATAACACATTGTTGGGACTGTCAGGGCTGGACTTGACTATAAGCGTCCGAGTAGCAATTGTTTGTAGGAGTGTAAAGGAAATGGAAAGCTAGTTTCACTTTTTCTGACGTTTTTGATGCATATGTTACTTTCTTATCTTGTCGTCTAATAAGATGCACCGAGGAGTTAAACTCTCGAGTTATTTAAAGTATTATTGGGCGATTATTTTTTGACAACTATTAAGAATAACACAGAGTACGGAATTGTGCTCGGTTTATGGTAATAGCATCTCCTCCAATTACTTGAGGATCATAACGTGAAACGGTTAAAATTTGAAGTGAAATGACCATATGTATAACTTTACCTACTCCTTCAGAATATTAAAACTTTAACTCCGGGCCATTAAAGGCCTGCGTAGGCTGCTATTGCGTCCGGCTGACAATATCATTTCGAAAAGTAGGTATGGCTAGTTCGACTCTGGGCGGTATGAAGTTAAGGTTTTACACGAGTCGAGTTTTATTCTCGAGGATATACGCCATTGTGTCCTTCGTTTTAAATTTAGAATTTGTTAACGGCCAAGTCTGCTGTTACTGATATAAGATTTATATGTCTGTATTTTTATTATGAGGTGTTTATGTTTATATGGGACCCAATAGGCTTGTTTTTTTCAAAAACATAGGTAAGGGTATGTGTATGCGTAAATATGACGAGTTAACGGTGGTTAACTAGTCCTTTTTTATGGTATAAGCCGGTAGCCAAGCAGACGGATCACCTGATGGTAAGCAATCGGCGTTGCCCATGATCACCTGGAACACCAGAGGCGTTGCAAGTGAGTTACCGGCCTTTTGGGATTAGGAATTTGAGGATTGTTGGGGATTCTTAAGCATCAAGAAGATTACTTAAACTAGGATTTCAAATTAAAAATTTAATAATACCCTGCTTGTCTTAGACTTAGACACATACTTTCATGAAATCTTTCGATTATCAAATCAGACACAAATACCAAAAATTACATAAACAAAATAAATCTAAATACCAATAAAACGTACCTTCAACCTGACACAAAACTGACATAAATAGCAACTAAGAATGTCATAAGGAAATTGAAATCGAGCTACGAATGCTCCAATCCTCTCATTGAGGGATCGAGTGAAAGGGAGGAAAAGAGTCCTCATTCCTCATATACTTACCTCCTTGGTTTTACAAAGGTCCGCCCTCAAATCTCCTTGTAATTAAAACTGTTCATATGAATGACCCTTATTGTTTGTTTGGACCTCGAAATACTCTTCATTAAGAATTATGAAAGAATGAAGTAACAAAGCTTGGTAGAAATAGAATTTTAGGTTATTTTGTGGATCTTGATATAAATTATGTAATAGACAACAATATAAAAAACTAACTTCTGCCCGCGACTTCGTACGTGCAGTCCTGTTTTTCCCAGAAACTAAAACTAAACTAAACTTTTTTTTTTCGAACGGGGTAAAAAGTA